GCCATCTATTTACACAACTTTTTCTTGAAATAAATAGCTTGCTACTGGATGGGGGGAAAATGTGTATTTTGTGTTGACAGGTGAGCTCTGAATGCCACCTTGAGCATAATTTTGACTTCTSTAGTCCCAGTTTTCCTTTCTTTTCAGGTTGTCATTCAGCCCTCCTCACTTTGCTTGAGCAAAACTTTTTTTTTGAGAGTAGAGAAGTGCTGARAGTTAAAAACATAGACTAGGGTTTAAGAGTGGCTGGAATATATCATCATACACATAGTAAGTTCTGTTGGAGCAGGGGTTATGATTCGTTCATTGTTTTACTCCWGTTCCTGAATGATTGCTCAACACAGTCAGCAGGCAAGAACTRCCTTTTAAATACATGGTATTCATCAGTTTTTGTTATCATTATTGTTTTCTTTTTTCTTTCTTTTTTAAAAATATTTTCTTGAYTTTGATATTTCTTTATCATATATGACTTTTTAAACATTTACATTCTTAGGTCACAAGACTGCTCTTTAGGCTCTTTATGTGAAGTTGTTTTTGACAATAGAGGGTTGCTTTCTTGTGGGAGACCAAGAGGGGAAAGGTAGATCATGCTTTTCGATATGGGCTTACTCACACCCACTTCTGGTCTGATTCCTGTAAAAGTTTGAGGYGAGAGTTAACTTGGACAATAGAACTAGTCTTGGAGGATATAGCAAATCACCCTGCAACAAATTATATAACTGTGCTCTCTTCCTTATTGCCATTACTCTTTAAAACCCTGGGGACAAAATACAGTACTACCTCTCCATTGACCTGAAAATGCTCTTCTCAACCCACTTCAGTGTTTTTTGAAAAATGCAGGTCAGATCATGTTATTGCCTCTCTTGAAAACTTGGAATTGGTACACCCCAACTTATAAAACAAAATGTGCATTCCTTGGCATAGCGTCTAAAGTCCCCCACAAGTAGTCCTGAACTCTCTCCAGCTTCATCTGCTTTATCATTCGTCTGCAAGAAACATATTCCAGGCACACAAGATTTTGATATTGTACCATTTGCTTTTTTTGTGTTTGTGCTGAATGTACCCTCAGCCTATAATGACTCCCTTGTTCGTTATTCCCTCTGTATCTTTGTCCCGATTTTATTCTTATGAGGACACAAGTCATTTGATTAGTGTCCTTACTAATTTAGTATGAGCTCATCTTAACTTGATTACATCCATAAAGACCTTTCCAAACAAGGTCATATTTGTAGGTATAGGAATTAGGACTAGAACCATACGTAACATATGGGTTTATAAATTTTAGAGAAATCTCTTTTGCTTGTCAGCTTTCAAGGGAATAATTCAGACTTTGACTATTGCTTTCTGCTCTTCATTAGTAGTTCCAAAAATAAGGCCTAGTTTCCATTCTAACCAGGCAGATTTTAGCATCATAGAATTTTAAAATCCAAAAACCTCCACTTGTAATTTTGTTTAAAATTTTACAGTAAAAAAAGGTAGGCCATCTTATTTTCTTGTGYTTAAAGTCATAGTGGGCAAATAATACATGGGCCCCTGAGGCCAGATGTGGTAGTGTTTCCTTACTCTCAACAAAAGCAGACAAACAAGATTGTTTTGATTAAAATGCATTTCTCTGAAATGGTCAGTATTTTAAGGCAAACAGCCCAGGGCTTATTGTTTATTGAAGAGTTGCCCTCAGTCATATGGAGACTGTACCATTTGATATTATACCATTTGCTTTTTTTGTGTTTATGAGTTATCCTCAGTAAAGCCCCAGGAACTTTGTTCAGGGCTCACAGAAGTTCCATAGTAAGTGACGGTTAGATGTTGAGGTGACTGTGAATGAAAATGTATTTGTCACGTGACTGCTGCTACTAACTCAAGCCCTGTTAGTGTGGTAGGGAAAGGAGCTGGCGGAGTACTGGGAATCTCCCTGGATTATCTCCTTTAATCTTCACAACATGCCCTATGATCTGCTAGGCAGACTTTCCCAAGGCTATAAAACTCGTGGGAGGCAGAGCTCAGATTTGATCCCAGGCCTGTCTTATTCTGAAACCCTCATTTAGTGGCCTTTGTCAGGTCTCTTTTTCCTTTACCCAACTGTGCAACTGTTAATTCCCTCTGCTAATATTAGAGATGATAAATGTCAAAATTATGGTTGGGTGTTAAACTAAAGAAAGTGGTCATATGAGAGAAGAATAGGGTTTTCCTTGTTTCTATAAAATACTTTAAAACATTTGYGTCAAAAAATTGAATAATCTGACATATGTTCTTCTCCTGTACCTTTTATTTCCATCTTTTTTGATTGAAAAAGAACATGAAATTTTTAATAAAGTCTTATAATCATTATTAAGTTTGAATTATTCCTAGATAGGCTATCTTTGGTTTAATTGATATTTTGAAACATTCWTCATAAGAATGGAACAACTTGTAAATTATAATGCTATTTTGGCAAAAATGTAATTATTGAGACAAAATAGGGTAAGAAAATATAAGGCAATTACATCTTTGTTGACTTTTTTCACTCACTTCTAGTAACTTCAACCTGTGTATTTTGATTTCTGTTTGTTTCTTTGTTGTGCTGGGGATGGGACCCACAGCCTCATGCATTCTAGTTAGTGCCCTACACTGAGCTACAGGCCCAGTTCTTGAACTGTTTTAATACATAATTTCAGAGAGTGTTTTAATGGCCTTTTGTAATTTTAAATTCAGTGGTTTGAGTCACAGTCATCAGACTTTAGGTTGTGACAGAAAATGAACTTCAGGGAATAGTGCTTACTCAGGAATAGCTGGTTTCAAGTGCCAACAGGAGTCTGTGTCATTCCATTGCTCACCTGCTTTTCCTCCACGTTGACTTCATTTTCAAACAGGCGCTTACCTCGTGATGGCAAAAATAGCCACCAGCAATCCTGGGATTACCATTTACAAGCTGAGCAACTAAGTTTTGGGACTGGCTCCCATAGCTCAGCTCAGGTCATGTGGCCATGTCTCATTGCCAGATCTAGAACTTGGACTACCTCTGGRCTGAGAGTGGAGGAAAAGCGCTTTCCAAAATAAACTTGCCATGCTGTTCTCAAAATTAGGAGAAAAGAATGCTGGGCATAAATTAGAACACAGGTTGTTGAAAGAAGGTACAATCAGAACTTTGTATTTTTTGCTGCTGGGATTTAAGAAAACAAATCTGCTGCACTAAAAGAGCATGTTCATTTTTAACTAACCACTGCCAGAAAAAGGAAAGAACCCAAAATGCAGTTTGTGATTGGGTACCAGACTTTGTATTGATTTTCTTTAAAAATTACGATATTCACACTCCTTCAAAGACTTTAGAGTCCCTACTGTATGTCACCCCCTGTGTGAAGTGCTTTATGTGTTTTATTTATTTGTACAGGTACTTTGTGAGGTCAGCATTACTATATTCATTGTCCTTAATCAAAGGAAATGAAAGGTCAGAGTGTTTGGATTGAATCCAGATGCGTCTAACTTCACTTACACAGTCTCTTACTTTTACAATTGTCTGTCCATCTGTTACCTGTCTCTCTTACATCCTCCTCCAGCAGTCCCTGTCTAAGCACCTGGCACCTCGGTTCTGCCTCCTGAAGATGTCTCCATGCCTCCCTCCATTCCTGTTGCTCTGGCCTTCATTAGGGAGGGCCTGAACTCTTCTCATACATTCTCTTTGGCGTACCTGCCTCTAGTCTTAGCCCACCCCCATTTTCCTTAGAGCAGCCCGGCTGAACTTTTAAGCAGTATGGATCTGATCTTAACAACCGTCTGTTTGCCCCGGCTACTCCTTGCACTGAGAGCGAGATCCTGCCTCTGCTGCTTTCCGCCACCTCACCACGCTCCCCAGGCTCTTTTTGTGTCTCTTCCCCTGGTGCAGCAGTCGTACACTTGCCACGTTCCTTAGTCTTCATAGTACATTCTTTATTCTCGTTCTCTCTTTAACTCTTACTTCTTCAGTTTTGTCTTTTAATGTCACTTTAAGTCCTCAGGGACTTCTTGCCTCTCCCACTCCTTCAATCTGGAAACCTGAGACTCCTTCACATCCTTTACTTTTTCTTTTTGCACTTTTGACAATTTTTACCTGCACATTTACATACAATTTATTAGTCTGATATTCCTCATTAAACCTTGGACTCCATGAATGCAAGGACTGTTTGTTAGTCACTGACTCTTTGGCATCTGCCAAGAGTCTCAAATGGGTGTTGATTGAATTCATCTGAATGTGCCGAGAGCAGTACAGTTTTCATTATTGCTTTTTCTATAGTTCTCTCACTCTGATATCATTTATTACTGAAGAATAAACCTGTATTTTCTTCTGAGTAGTTTTGTCCCAGTAGCTTTTGGTCTGCTTAGGAACAAGCTGTGCTTCCTAGCTATAATCTTTAGCACTTCAGATGCTGTGCAGTGATGCACTTGGTTTTCAGAACTTCTGTATCACAGCCAGACATAATAGGGGAAAATAATAATTCAGAATATATAACTTTTCTCAATGTGACCTGAGTGTGGGTGGCTGGAAGAGGGAGTGAGAAGGCTCTACTGACTTGTTCCACATGGTCCCCTGCTCAGTGACACAGAAGCTTAAACACTCCCTTTACTTCTGGTGTGCCATCCTCAGAACCCAGGCATCCAAATTTAGCCCTCTCTGCATGTCCTTGCAATTTCTGGCTGCCATCTGTGCCCAAACTGGCTTTGGAAAGAGAAGCTTTCTCTCCAATGATTTATTATTTTAAAGCAGTCTTCCCAACCTTTCTCATGAAAACCAGCAATACTTATAAGGCACCTTGGCATCCACATTGGAGGCCATCGCCCCTGATTCCTGCATACCCCAGGTCCGAGGGCATCACTATCTTTCTTCTCTCCCTCTCTCTCTCTCTCTCTCTCTCTCTCTCTCTCTCTCTCTCTCTCACACACACACACACACACACACACTCACACAGGTGTTGGCTGAAACTTACTTGTCCATGATCATCCCAGGTGGTGGAGGTAACCTAATTTCTCTCTCCCTTTTTAATCCACAGTTGGTCATGTTCAGAGTTTGACTTGAGTGACATTCGCCTGATAGTTTACCAGGACTGTGAGAGGAGAGGCAGACAAGTGTTGTTTGATTCTAAAGCTGTTCAAAAGATTGAAGAGATGGCAACTCAGGTATGAAATGCTGATTTGCTTTCACCTTTATCATTTGTGCTTTTAACTGCCTTGTTTTGCTTTTCTTTTAATTAAAAAAAAATGGGGGGGGTGGGGTCTTACTACATTGTCCAAGCTGGCCTTGAATTCCTGGGCTCAAGGGATCTCTCAGTCTCCTGAGTGCTGAGACTACAGATGTGTGCCTCTATGCCTGGCTTTTAACCACTTCATTGATCCATCACTTATTAATTCATGATTATCTTAAAAGTATATTGCATGCTACTCATGGTTTAGAAAAAAACATAAGCAGACCCCTCTTCCCTAGGAAGCATGCACATGTCCATTAATAAACACACATGAAACTGTTAGTAGGTAATCATGACAAGAATTGACAGTGTATTTAAATCTTCCTGGAAGTGAGTTTGCTGGTCAGTTCCATCCAGTAGGATTTTTTTATGTCAAGCATATGCATCAAATGTAGGAAGAAGGCAGAACTGTGAACTGCAGAAAGCAATAAAGCATTTGCCTGAAGAGAAGTAATGTATCATTCTTTCCTGTGTTTCTCATAGATATTTAAAGTATTGTATAGTATTAGGTTAAACAAATTTATATAGCTTTTTTAACATAAAGTGCCCATTTTCATCTTCTAAAAGAGTGTTTTTCAACCATATTTGACCAAGGAAGATTTCATTCATTTAATTTTTTTTTAATAGAGAGTGGTATTGGTGAGGTGGGGCAGGGCTTGGAGGGGCAGGGTGAGGCAGGTGAAGGGGGCTAGCTATGGGGACGAAAGAACAGTTCTTTACCCTTTTGAGCCAGAATAAGAAAGGTGAGAAGAGTCTGGTCCCCCTTGAGTCTTTGGCTGTCAGTCCAAGGTACTTCTAAATTATGATCCTTAGGCCTTTCACTCTCTTTTCAGTATTTGTGCAGATGCTTACAGATTAAATACATCCCTTTGTACTCATTCCTTTCATGCTCAGTAGCTTGCTACCCATACTGAACAAATTCTGGCAGTTTGTAAAATGTCTGCCCTAAGTTAAAGAGCAGTTTATAGCTTGGTCTTTGTCTCATGGGGCCTAGGGGCCCTGCTTTTGATAACGATCACTTTTGCAGAAAGGAAGTGTTTGAAGGCAGTTTAGCAGGGTGGATTCCACAGCACTTCAGGTGGAATTGTACCGGGTARCTAATCATTATAGAAGTTGTTGGGCTTGTTAGGTAAGTGGAGGAGCAGGTGAGATGTCTCTTGGTAATTCACTGTAGGTTTTAATTGTGGATTGGAATTAAAAGCTTCGGTGAGCCAGCATTTGACCCTTTATTGGTGGAYAGGAGATGGCAACCCCTTTTTCCCTGAATACATCACAAAGATGGTTTAGTTGAGGACACACGTCCCATCACCAGGGCTGTAGATGATGGAGGGGAAAAATCCTCACTGGTTTTCAAGCGGACTGGAATTGTCAGAATAGCAGAGTAGTGATAACTCTGTAATCTGGAACATAGGCTTTCTTAGAAGCACTTGTTTAATCAAAAAAGCAGCTTAGGTTCAGGAACATTTGTAGCTTGCCCGAGACTACACAGAATCCAGCTGGTGCTCTGCTCACTACCAGGTGCTGTGTCCAATTATAGACTGTTGACTGTGTTGTACGCCAGCCAAAGGGTCCCACCGTCTGTGAAGCAGGTGGGATTTCCTGTCATTTTAGGCCCTCTGAGGGACTATGTTTCTGGCATAAGTGGCATTAAATAACAGCAGTATAACTTTGAATGCCATCATTGCTGGAGTGATTGTTGTGGACCAGCACATTTTATGTTTTCCTTATATTTTTTTCCCATTTTCAGCCCCCCTCACCCCCACTTGGCAAGCACAAAATGTCATGAGTTTGTATAAAGCACATGACTGCAGGCATTTGCATTAGACCACCAGTGTGACTGTCACACTGAAGATTAGATAAGCTGCAGTTGCATTCATGATTTTCCAAGCAAAAGCTGTATAAGGAAAAAAAAAATAGTTCAGAATAGAAACTACTTCTCATAGATGCTGCAGGATGCTTCTGTAGGGAATGATAGCTTCTGGTGGAAGATGAAGTCAAAAATTAATGATGGTAAATCTTTATACCTTCATGTCACTATCATAAGAAATTAGCAGTGAACACTGTTGAGGGAATATGGAGTAGATAATCCTCTGTCACCTCTAACCTTTAAAGACCATATTTCCATCACATGCTGTGTAATTAACAGTAGCTCCTGTTTCAGGGTTTGGGCTTCATCTTTCACAATTTCAACCTCGTGATTTTCTTTCCTGTTACCTTCAAAGAGGTACTAGAAGAGGTGTGTCATGAAAAACATAAGCCCAGYCTGTCCAAATTAATAGTTTTGTTTTCTTAGTTCCATTTGCTTGTTTAAAATTTAAACTTAAATCACCATCTTTCTCCTCATCATTTTCATAGTTTATGATTTTACATGATACTAAAGATTTTTTTAAGAATTGAAAACATTCGTTATCATTTGATGAAATACAAAAGCTGGTAATTAAGGAGAATAATGTCTAAATTCACTAGTTTTTGTGTAGTACCTTCAGCACTTCCCCTTCCCAAATATTATAGGCTCCAAGGAATCATATTTTTGTCATAATTTTAAAGAAAAATTCTATGAGAGCTTCTGGTTTTGAATGCAGTGCAGGTTCCTACACGGTTTGACAAAGGAATTCCCAGTGAAGAGCTTGTTGATGAAGCCTGATATACTTAGTATCCTTTACCTTGCTTGCCTCTCTTAACCCAGAAAACAGAGGATGTCCCTGTGAAAACGTCAGCCAAGTGCTGCCAAGGAAGTAGCAGCAGCAGCAGCAGCAGCAGCAGCAGCATCTCTTCCCATAGTTCTTCTGGAGGATCTTTACAACACACCAAGGAGCAGCTTCCAAAGTACCAGGTAAAACATGCCTTCTGTAGGAACACCCCATGGGTTGAAGTAATTTACTGTAACTTCTCCTCAGGGGCTAATGCCTGCTGGAGGGTTCTACTTCAGGAATGTGAGAACAAGTATTCAACAGAGTGATCCTAAATGTTTCACATCAGTGTTGTTTTCACACTTTGTCTTTTATCTCTCTATAAAAATTATAATCCAGCAGAGTGAWACAGCATAATACATACTGAATGAGGAAGAAATATTGCAAACGAGGTAAATTTTTTTGTTTTGTTTCCTTTGCTGTTATTATTATTCTGATCCAGAATAATAAACCTATGAACTCCTAAAGATTCTTTGAGTGTATATGGGCATCCTGAGAAGGTAGAACTTGCCAGTGAAAGAAGAAAGTCTTGTCTAGCAGAAGAAATAAATAGTAAGGCCAAACTTGAGAGTGAAGGTTTCAGGGCTGGTGGCATTCTTTTTTTTTAAATTTGATTTATTTATTTGTTTTAGCTTTGGATKGACCTTTATTTTTTATTTATATGCAGTGCTGAGACTCGAACCCAGTGCCTCACGACATTTGAGGCAAGTGCTCTACTACTGAGCCACAACTCCAGCCCAGGTGGCATTCTTTTACACTGTGAGTTGTGTGTTTGAGGAGGTAGAGGATAGGAATGAGGGCCATAAAATGAGAAACATTGACTAACTAGATACAAAAGTAGAAATGTTTTGTAAATTTTGAATAGTAATAGCAGAAGGGCATTAATTGATGGGTGATGTACCAAACTTTCTCTTTTAAGCCCATGTAGAATCTTGTCTTCTATGTTGCTGAAAAAGCAAAGCCAGGGTAATTACCAGCAGCCACAGTCCCATAGGACTGTATTAATTTCATAGCCAGGACTTGGGCCATGCATTTGCCCTTATTGTACAGTGCTTTGGGGGGTCTCAAGTAGTTTGTAATTTAAAAATTATAGAGTGAAATTTTCAGCTAGTTGATAATTATAATTTATATCCCAAGAAGAAAAGCAGATTATAAAATTAAGAAGGTTATTAGTAAATAAGGTGATAGCCAGATGGTTTCTATCTGCATGTGGTGGGAAGAGGTTGATGTGAGTTCTAATCCAACAGAGGAACCTGGTTAATAAGACTGGTTGGTTTACTTTATCTTTCTACCTCTGCCATTTTGTGTAAGTAGGTTATATATGTGTGTCAGTGTGTGTATATATATGTATGTGTGCATTTGGAGTTTTAGTAAATGAAAAGAAACACGGGGGCATAGCTTAGTGGTAGAGCATGGTCACCTCGTATGCACAAGGCCGCACATTTAATCTCCAGTGTTGCAAAAAGAAAAAGAAATGAGAACGATTCAGTGGAGAATGTTGAGGTTGATCCCCATGTTTTTCCTCAGATAGAAAACACACTGTCAAAGATTCTGACTGATGGGTTGGGGTGCAGGGAATGTTACTTTGTTTCAAGCTATGCTAGGGTGCCTGTGGAACACTGGTTTGTTCAACATTTATTTCTATCCTGTCCATCATTGTGTCCCCAGGACTTAGCATATGTACTTAAGACTGCTATATCCCAAAGGATTCGGATATAGGATTTTAGAGCCTGAGGAGAGGTCTGGGCCTAGAGATAAAAATATAGCAGGTATTCCTATGTGCATAAAAATCAAAGTCAAAGAATGTTTGATTGAAAATGCAGGCAGTGAGCAGAAGTGCCCTCCAGGGAACAACCATGTTTAAGGGATGATTTYAGAAAGAAGAGATTGAAAAAGCAAAGTAGTAGTTTTAAGAAAACAAATTGGAAAGTGTCCATTAGATTTGACAGGAAGATGAAAGTTATCCTTAGAGCAAATGAAATCGATGGAACATGAGAGGTGAAGTTAGGCTGTGCTGGTTAAAAAGCAAAGAGAGGGTTGGGGTGTAGCTTGTGCATAGCACCACCAAAAAATAAAAGTAAACGAGAATATAGTCCACCCTTTTGGATAACAAAAAGGCATGAGAAAAAAATGGTTTGATGTTGGGAGAGTCAAATATTTTTGAAATATTTTGTAAAATTTTAGAATACTTGGACCATCTGTTATCTTTTGTACCTGCACAAAACCCTGCCTGCACTAATTGACATTTTTGATCAAGTCTGTAAATTATTTGATTGAATAATACTGAATTATATTTCTTCTCAGGATGAGTTCTTAGTACCAAGGGAAGATTTACCCTGTTTCTTCAATAATATAATCTATTTAGAATTTATAAATGGAAATAATGATAATCTTTTTCTCATAATAATGTTAAAAATGATTTCTAATGAACACTTGGGTCCTATAAACATAATATGCTTAAAGAAAGAACTCAAGAACATTAATAATAATTTTGGGGAAAACCCAGGCAATCAACATTACAGATTGTGATTGTAAGATGACCAACTCCAGGTTTAAGAAATAATTGTAGTTACCCAGTAAAGAGGGACCCTGAGATTAATAAATCTTGTTTTCTTTTTTTTACTTCTGCACCATTGTATATTTTTTCCTTTTTTTCTTGAAGTTTTAAAAATGTCTTTATTTAGCACAGCATGATTATACATGATAGTGAATCATTGTCACATACTATATGTGCATACAGCATAACAGCATTGGTGCTATTGCATTGCATGTCGCATAGTTCCACATACTGACTTTGACTTGGTTTCTTTTGTGTAGTACACAAGACCAGCTTCTGATGTCAACATGCTAGGGGAAATGATGTTTGGCTCAGTCGCAATGAGTTATAAAGGCTCCACCTTAAAGATACACTATATACGGTGAGTTTGAACTTCTTTTTCTACAGTTTCGAGAAATAGTATGGTGATACCGACTCCGTAATTTAAAAATGCACTTCTTCCCCCATCCATCCATCCATCCGTCTATCTATTTATTTATTTTCCAGTTCTCCTCCGCAACTGATGATTAGTAAAGTTTTCTCTGCTAGAATGGGCAGCTTCTGTGGAAGTACAAATAAGTAAGTCATATTTTTGTGTGTGTCTTTTTCTAGATAGAGTAACTTTTTGTGCGCCATCAGACGTTTTGAAATGAGAAGCAAAATGAATCCAGATTAACAGAAGGATTTTAAAGGGTTAGGCAGTGTCCAGTAACATTGAGCAGGGGAAGGACTTTGACTTTCTTGGGTGTCCTTAAAGACAAAGCAGCATCTTTATTTTGGGTTGCCTTCAATTATCCACTACATTTCTACAGGCAGCTACCAAGTTTTAATTTTCTGGAAAAATAGAAGGGGAAAAAAGGAATAACTATATCACCAATTTAATGCCATTCCACAATATTATTTTGTCTTTAAAAGTATGTATTTCTGAAGGATTGAAGTACATAATGACTTTTTCTGGGATGATCACAGTGTGGGGTAGGAGGGTTGTCTGTACTTGCTATCTATTCTGAGCAGTCAGTGTAGCCTTTGTGATTGCTAGATATTTGAACCATGTAATCATTTGATTTTCCCCTCTTTTTGCACTTGTGCATAGACTAAAAATACTGAAATGTTTAACTTAAATTTTCATCACAGTGCATTTGTTTATACATTTTGAACTTTCAAACAGAAATATTTCATATGCTTGTTATATTTTGTTATATATTTAAAGGAAGTACTTAGTATAAATAAGGGACATTCCTAGATGTTAAATGAATAACCCTGGGAAATTAAAATTTTATTCCTCTGCATCTTTGGGTACTTCTGAGTAAAAATTTTGCTTTATCCTACAACAAAATAGTTTGAACACTTAACATTGGGCTACCATGACTAAAGCCAATGTGAGAATTGATGTTTATTTATTATGAGATATACTTTTTTTCATCCCCTTGAAATTACCTGAATGTTTGTCACACTACTGCCCTATAGTAAAATATTGAGCCCAGATTTAAGTAAAAATTATTTGGCTTCATTATGCTACATTATCCTCAAAGTCTTTATTTATTTTCCTGTTAAAGAATACATTATTATAATAGGGGCTGGGGTTTTAACTCAGTGGTTGAGTGCTTGCCTAGTGTGCATGAGGCCCTGGGTTCCATTCTCAGTGCCATATATAAATAAATCAAAAGAATACAGTATTAAAATCTATTTCCCTCACATTTTTATGAGTAATTCTAACTTTTTAGAAGTTGTGAAATCAAACTCCTAAGAGAATCATAATTTCTGATGCATCTCACCCCTGAAAAAAGTTGCTGAATTATTCATAGATGTTAATCAAGAGTTAAAATTAATTTTATTTTGAGGGTTTATGTAAAACCCTTGAAATGAATAGCAGCATCTTTAATGTCAGTTGCTAAAGCGGAATTTAGAAATGAATAGCAGTATACTAGGTGTCAGCCACTGAAGCAGAATTTAGAGTTTGTTGTCCTGTTATAGAATATGAAATTGTTAGGAATGCAATTATTTAATTGTATGGATCTGGCTACTTCTAAAAAGCTTTTATTTTCCTTCAACAAATTCTCCTAGACTTGCCAATTTAATTTCCTTTGGTAGATGTGAGACTATCAAATAACAGTTGTATGCATTTGGGTGTCACTCAGCAGTTGTATATATTTGRGAGTCTACCAAAAAACAGCTTTTTATTAGCCTGTTGATGTTTTTCTCCTCTCTTTGCTTTCCTCTTCCTGGCCGGATTTAGCTTGCAAGACAGCTTTGAGTACATCAACCAAGATCCTCATGCAGGAAAACCGAACACGAATCAGCATACTTTGGGTCCTGGTCGTGCCGGAAGTAACCTAGGTAAAATGAGACACGCAAACAGATTTTCTCTCTGAATACCACTATTATGGGTGTGTTTTACTTTATTTGAGTTGGTTGTGTTGTGTTGTTTTGGTTTGGTTTTGCATTACTTTTAATCGGTGTTTATTTTTGTGTATGTGTGTGCTTTGTTTGCCGTCCTCTGTGTGTCTGTCTCCAGGTCTGCTGCAAGCATGCAGCAGCAAACTGCTGCAGGGGGCAGCTGAAGGAGGACCTCTCCGGCTCACCCGGAGTGCTTCTTTCTTTGCAGGTTTGTGTGGAATGCTGAGTACAGTGTGACCCACACACATTAATAAATCCTGTACTGGTTCTCAGAAAAAGTCCTATTTGTGCTTTCCTAGAAATTCAAGGGGCTCTTGTGATAAGAGACATAATTTCAAATGCAGCCAAATTCATGATATTTTGGAAAGTTCATCCCATGAACCTCTATAGTAAATGTCTCTGTTAATATCCCAGGGTAAGCTGATTTTGATCTGAAATGAGCCCTTAGGGTTTCTAAGACAATTCTTTTTTCTGATTTTCCTGGGCCTCTTTTGCTGCTATGAACTGTTTCCCTTTGCCGTGGTGTTTTCTCTCTATTTGTTCACTTGCATCCTTACCTGCATGGAGTTTCTTTAAAAGTCACTTTAATTAAAGAGCATGGAAGATTGATCAATCTCTCTCTCTGTGTGTCTCTCATTTAAGTGATATAAATGCAGTTTCTAGGTTCTTTACAGTTATAATCATCGAGGTGTTCTAACATTTCACTGGCCTTGCTAGCTGAGGCTGTTCAATGTGTATTGTAGTCTTGGCATGATTAACAAGTGTGGGGGATCTTCATTACTAACGTTTAAGATTGTGAGTATGGCAAATGATATTTTTCATTCTGTTCTTCGTAGTCTGAAATATGCTAAACACGGTAGTTAACTGACATACTAATGAAACTGACACCCTCCCACCTACTTAGAGTGAGGATAACATGTTTATATACTCTCTTTAAAATTGTGAAAATAAACATGTTTCAGAAAATAACTGGCAAGTACAACAATCAGGCAGGGCACTGGGCTTCTTGTACATTATAAAACTTACTGAGCAACATTTCATCTGCCTTCCAGCTCAGTAAGAGTACAGCTCCGGCCCATCTAAAGTCTTCCTATAAGTCTTTAATACTTCAGATTTTCCAAAATTCTTGCCAACATGAGTTTTTCTAAGTAACTCGACAATAGTACTGTGTATGGGTGTATATGGAAAAGAAGTAGAGGAAGAAATATTTGAAAAGGAATATAAGTGTTTTCTGTCTGCCAAGAGAGTGGGTTATAAATAGAAACATTTTTTGAATTTATGAAATGGTTTTCAAGTATTTCTCTTCCCTAAGTTGCCTACAGTTACTACTGAAACTAATTATAAAGCATTTTGAAAATATAGTGCTATATACATACTACTATTAATGAGGAAAATAGCTAAAAATATTCACTTGAAAAATGATCATTGTATTATCTGCATAATTAGTTTATGATACAGGATTTTTTAGAGAGTGGAATTCATTCAAAAAAGTTTATGTGCTTCAGTAGGATAAAGGCAGATACTTCTGTTTTCTTCTTTCTTTCATCATCTATGTATTTAATTTTGCTTTCTAGTTAATCTCTATAATAAACAGGCCAATCATCAATAGCAGTAGCCTACTTTGAAATGTAAAGATTACGGCAGTCATTTTTGAAATTTTTGTATCTTTGGATTCAAAACCTCAATAACATGTTTTCCTTGTACCTTTATCTCAGCACACAGCACCCCAGTTGATATGCCAAGCAGAGGACAGAATGAAGACAGGGACAGTGGCATTGCTCGATCAGGTATTTCCTTTTATTGGTTTAACTAATGCAGTGAACTATCCATAAAGATTAAAAAAAAAAAAGTTACCCATTTTCTGTTTTTCCAACTTTTTAAGCCTCATCCTCTATTTGTTGTTTTGTTTTTTTGTCCATATTCTGATGTCCCAAGATTTGAAATTTTGATGTGTAACATCTGGAAATGATTATGCAACATAAACTAGTCTTATACCCAAATTCATATGAGACTAGTGTATGCTGAGAAATCTCTTCCCGGAGTGAAGTTTCCTTGAGTCAATAATACTGGGAATTTGTTTGCTGACTTCTGTGTATAGAACCAGAGGAGGGAAAGTGTCTGCGAAAATAAATCTTTGAACAACAGTGGAAGTGCCTGCCAACTGACCTGATCACCCTTTCTTCTGTCTTAGAATACTGATCTAAGTTGTGTCTCCGGTACCTTTCTGTTCTTCTAGAAGTCCTAAACTTTACTTTTACTTTTTMTTTTTAACTAGCCCTGAACTTTCTAATACTGCTTTTAGGATCCCATGGTTTCTGCTTTTGTACATGATGCTGCTTTTGACTTTTGATTTGTGGTTCAGATCTGAGGTAGGTTCTGTGTTAGAAGAGAAGTAATCCAGGGACTTAGGTGTGTGGGGTTTACCTGATGATTACACATCCTGTAGGCCTCCTCTAGGAGCACGCTACTGATTTCTCCTCTGACACATGGCTCCTTCGACCAAGAGGCCAACCAGCCAGCAGTCCCTGCACAGACTGGATCCAGACCTTGGGTGCCTTTCCTCCTGGCCTTTCATTCATTTGTGTTTCCACCTCTTGCTCTCAGACAGTGCCTCAAAAATCCTTGTTTCTTCTGTGTAATATCAGGGCCCTTCTCCCATTCTGTCCCTCTCTGCTCCCAAGTTGTTAAATGAAATGTATTGTTACTGAATCTCCCTGTTTGGCATTTAATATTTATGTATGAAAGAGATGATGGAGAGGGCTGCTAATGTTCCTGAGTGGCAGTTTGCTCCCCTTGCTGTCATTTATATATATGCATATGAATGTATATGTTTGTATTACACACACATATATAACATACATATATGTAATAAAGTATATATATATATATATATATAGTGTTTTATTAGTTGTTAAAATTGACTCATATTGGTATTCATTATCTTCTCTGTGAAGTTGGGCTAATCACCTTTGGTCTGAAATGTAGCTCCCATTGATTACACTTGTATAATTTTCACTTAAAATCTGAAAAGGTAAAAGGCAATATGTGATGTGCAAGTGAACTGTTTTTCTTTTGTCATATTTAATGATAGTCATGGTAATTTCCTCATTTCTTGTGGGTCACTGTCAGCTGAACTCTGAGTTCCATCAGTTACTCAAAAGATTCTGAGTGTGCACTGAAAAACCCTAGTGTCCTAGTGGCCCTCAGTCCAATGCCGTTCTCGGTCCCCTGTGATAGGATTGGCACTGGRCCAACTTTGCTGTGGTTGAATTCCAAAGCAGAAAGGTGAGAGCTTTTCACCTGTCTATGGGGGAAGGAGCATGAGTAATGTTCCACCAGGGCCCCTTCTGAATGCTCATGTCACGGGATTTCTGTCCTGTTGTAACCTTATTTTACTTTTTATACCCCTTGTTCCAGAAAAGATTCAGAGATTTTTAGGGAACTAATACCAGCAGAAACATTATTAGAAGAAAGTTTGGATTTTCCTAGGTAACTTCAGTTTATAATATAATTGGTAAAATTAGTTCATGTTGTACRAATCTAAATCGCAACTTGTTTGATATTCTTTAGATTCTATGTTGCTCTAAAACTACTTTTCCAGGCCTTTTGAGAAGCAGGAAAATTGAGTTCACATTAAAGTACAAGTCCATGGCAGCCAGAGCCAAATGTTTTCTTGTAAAGGGGTTTGGGACTAACCAGATCTGGGAACTGGGGACAGTATGATACAAAGGTTAATTTTGATAATGAAAGAAGACTGGCTCTGTTTGGTAGTTTGGCAATCTGTATTTCCAATCTCTGCTTCTCCTGTTGAGAGGACGGAGTCAAAGGGGATGGAAAGAACTGCCAGTGCCCCTGAGAGGGGTTTTGCTCCCCTGGCTGTCCTGGTAGATGTGCTCACCTTTAGGTTCACACCTGGGAACTGCTCTGATATCCCTGAGTCTTACATAGACTAGTGTGAGCTTCACATCTTTGGTGGGATTAAGAATTCTGTTAACGTAAGAGCTCTTTTATCTTCTTAGTGTAATCCATTCTCTACTCCTTATTTCCCACCTTAAATTGTGGAGGAACCAAGATCTCGGTTCTAAAACAGAATAGGAGCTCCAAATATTAGAATTAAATTAGCAGAAGTAGTAGAGAAAGTAAGATGGTGTTTATTGTCTTTTTATTCTGTAATTTTTAACTTCTATCTAAAGAGTAGAGAGATAGGAAAAGTGTTGTTGTTGTTATTGTTATTTGGTACTGAGATTGAATACAGGGGTGCTCAACCGCTGAGCTACATCCCAAGAGTTTTTTATATTTTATTTAGATATAGGGTCTTGCTGAGTTGGTTAGTGCCTTGCTAAGTTGCTGASGCTGGCTTTGACCTTGCAGTCCTCCTGCCTCAGCCTCCAAGCCGCTGGGATTACAAGCATGCACCACCGCACCCAGCAGGAAAGTTTTTAAGGTAGATTTTATTGTTAAAATAGTTATAGATTTACAGCAAAATTTGGAAGATTTTTTCACAGAGTTCTCTTATAACTCTTCCTCAGTCTGCCCTGTTAATAACATCTTAATATTAGTGTATGAATTATGACAGTGAATGAACCAATATTAATATTAGTGAAGCATAACCATTAGCCAAAGAACATAGTTGAGTTATTTCCTTGGTTTTTACTTAATTCTCTTCTATTCCAGGACCACATTACACTTATTGGTCAGGTCTCTTCAGGCTTATTTGGCTGTGGTAGGTTCTCAGACTTACTTTGTTTTTGCTAATCATGACAGTATTGAGTACTGGCTAGTTATTGTGTAGAATGCCCCACTATGAGAATGTTGGAAGTTTTCCTCATGATGAAGCTGAGGTTGTGAGTCCAGGGAAGGAAGACCATAGGGGTAAAGTGCCATTTTCATCACATCAGGTCAAGGCTACCTACTGTCACTGTGCCTTTTGACCATTGACACTGGCCTTGTTTACCTGGCCAACGTGATATTTGTCAGGTTTCTCCACTGCAGAGTGACTGTTTCCCCCTCTCCATACTCTGCTTTGGTAAGACGTCACTATCCACCTATGGAGTGGGGAATTGTGGTCCTCTTCCTCGAGAGCAGAGGCTCTCCATAAATTAGTTGGGATCCTTCTGCATGGGAAAAATGTTTAATCTTCCCATTTATTTGTTTATTTGGTTATTATATCAATATGAACTCCAGGATATTTATTTTTTTTACTTTGGATTATAATCTAATAGTACTTCATTTAAAAAAATTGTTGTAGCTCAAATCATCCCAGCTTTGGCTATTGGGAGCTCTTTTTCTTATCTCCTGTGCTCCTTTTATATACCCCCATTTATGTGGGGGGTGCTAGTTTGAGCACTCTCTTAATTCTGTGCTACAAAATGCCATACACACACACACACACACACACACACACACACACACACATATAGTCATCTTCTGTATTTTTTTTTGCCCAAGTCCCAGAGTTAGTTGTTTCCTCATTCATAGAATGTTTGTTTCTTGGGGTGTAAAGGGGAAATACCTTTTCATTGTGTTTTCTTTTGGATATTTTGAATGTATCTTCTGTGTAAAGATAAATTTTAAGAGATYATTTTAGTGGCATAGTTGGTTATATAGCCTTGGAAGAAAAGAGAGGTGGATTTCTAGCATACTAAGCAGATTGCTGGCTCAGTGACTAACGGGACATGGGTTTTAGGGGAGGAGTAAGAGAGCAAGCATGACTCTTCAGTTTCTGACTTGAGAAGACAAGCTGAGGATAATGTGGTGACATTACCCAATGTAGGACAAGCCAGAGGCCCTTCAGGGAGACAGATAGTGAAATAATTTTTAGCTAGAAGTGTCCACAAATTCTCCACTGGTGAGTAGCCTGCTGTAATTTAGAAATAGAAAACTGACTCAAAAGAGATGGGTCAGCTGAAATTCAGAAGACTTGGATCTGCGAGCAGCATGAGGTTCCAAGGGCTGGGATTGAGACAGCGTCATCGAGCCTTGTCATCTGCCCATAGTTCAGCTCTAGGCTTTCTTCATCAAATCATAGTAAGGAAAACGGTTTTCCCATTCTTTTTGTAGCTGCATTTCTTCAGTCTTTAAAAGTGGTAAAACAAATAGGTCGGTATGAGGAACATTTGTAGTATATACTTTTCAAGTGACTCTACCAGATAAGAATACACATCATCAAAGTGTTCAGATAAAACTTGTGTTTCAGCTACTCTGCAGATACAGGATGAACTCTGCCCAACATTTGGTTTGGATCAAGACTGATGATGTCACATACACATACTGTAAGGATGTGGAAAGGCTTTTTACTCACATAATGAGGGTTTTCTGGAGAGAGCAGGTGACTTCCCAAGTTGGCCAGAAAAGAGCTTGAGAGAACAGGGAAAAGAGACTAAACTTGGGTTTTCTTGGTGGTAAGACTGTGAGTGTTTCTTCATGTGGTTTAAACCTTCCACTGGCACCAAAAGAGACAGCACCTGGGCTTTCTCATCAGTTTGCCAAGAGSGAGCAGAATGAGGCCAGGGGGATGGGATGAAGCTTCAAAGCCATCAGCAATAGAATATCAAAAATGAAGTCAGATTCCTCACAATGTAGGTCACCATGGAATAATACACAATGATGTCCCATTTGTACCTGAGCCTCTTGCTGACTTAACTGATTCAGTGCTTAGTAAAGAGAGGAGCAGGAGTCAAAAGGACAACACTGCTTTTTATTTTTTCATTTTGTTTTTTTGGTGCTAAGAATGCATTCTACCACTGAGTTTCATCCCCATGTCTAGGTATTATTTTTTGTGTAGGGGAAAAGCCCTACATGCTGTTGACCTTTGCACCTGTGCACATGGGCAAAAGCTTGAACTTCAGCATGAGTCTTGGTCGCATAACCTGGGATCTTTCTGTCACATAAGAAGATAGGAGGACTCTGAGGAGCTGCTAAGAGGGCATCTCCCACTCACTTCCCTGTCTCCCYTGGGAGGCTGCCATGAGACAATTTCTCTTCAACTCCACAGTTCTGATAGAGGACTTCTGCCCTGCCCTCTTCAAATAGAATTGCAGAATATAAAAGTATTTAGCTGCAGTTTAGAATGAGCTCCCAGCAATGAGTGTCCCCCAGTTTGCACTGCAAGCATTGATCCCTTTTGTGTTGTTACCATTTTGGGTGTGGGACAAGTATCTTTGGGAGCTGGTCCCTTTGGCTTAGTCTTTCCATCATTTGGTGATAAATATCCAGGTCTAAAAATGTCTGCTTGTGTCTTTACTGTTGAGGATCTGGGCCTTGACTTGCTTTGCTTTGCTCATTATATTTGTTTGATGTCCTGTAAGGTGTCTTGGACAGAACTTAGTTTCTTTATTTCTTTCCACTTCTTATATTTCAAGTTAGACCTTTGGCATTTTCCTGGAGTGAATATTTGCCATCTTCACTTTCACAGGCTTGTTGGCTTTTTCTTTCACTTTAGCTTTTTCGGTTCTAAACTTGCATTCTTATATATCTGCTTAGGAAAAATTAGAATCAGAAAGTAATGAAAGTAGCAGTCAAACCCATAGGGGATCTAGAAATAAATCTAAGAAAATGTGTGATATGTGATGGAGAAAGTTTTAAAACTTTATTAAAAGACCTAATTGGGTGGAGTGAAGGATCACATTTTACAAATTAATCTATAAATTCAGTGTAATTTGAGTTAAAATCTCCTGTGAAGTCAGACTAAACTTCTACTTCATATGGAAGAACAAAGGACCAAGATTATATATTTTTCATAAGCTTTTGTAGGCACTTCATTCTTAGATCCCAGACTCTGGATAATAGACAAAAGTCAAAAAACTTAGTAAATAAATGCAGAGAATGAATTGATCACCTAGGGTGGGCTAGAGTTTATGTCCCAGAAAAGAAATTAAAATTTGAGATGTTTTGAAATCATGGTAGTGAGAACATTGTCTTTTTTATTATTCGGGGGGCTTTATAGGAATTTTATTAAAACTTAAAATGGCATTTTTGAGGACCTTTTAAACTCCTAAATTAATTTTGTGGTTTGGGAATTAAAATGTGTTATGTGTAATTTGATTTGCCAATAAAATAACATATTTGGTTTATTAAAAATGAAGTTTTCCTCTTAGATAATAATAACAGCTCTATTCATTGACCCATTAAATGCTTCTACTTTGTTGTCTTTAGAGTGTAATTACATACTAGACTAAGTCACCTTACATATTTTCAAGTTTCTAAGCAAAAACTTGAAGAACTTTGAGTCTCACAGTGAACAAAGTCCATTATGTTTGGGATGTAGTACCCTTTCATCCAACAGATAGAAACAGATAGAAAAGGTACTCAGAACAATACCACCAAAAAAACAAAAACAAACTTTAAATGAAGGTTATGAAGGTTGGTTAAAAAGAGAAAATCCAAATACTGTATATACAGCTTTAGCCATAGGAGACCTTAAACAAATTCAATATGTGAATTCATCTAGAAAGTTGTTTCTCTACTTCTCTGTTTCTGTTACACTTACTGATTGAGACAAACATTATTGTCCTTAACTGAATTGTTGGCCCAGTATTCAGTGAGCATCTCATGGAACAATCTTCTAGGGTATGGGGATAGATCAGTGCTCAGAATACACATGAACCCTGATCTCATCGAATTTAGTCAGTTAARGAGAGATGGATGATAAACACTGAAATGTAGGCACACACTTATCAATGAAGGAAAAAAATATATGGGGTGCCCATGAATAGCCCTCTGAAAGCATGAAATTTCAGCTGAGACTTTAATGCCAGTAGGGACTCCATGAAGTTCCCATTAAGTCTCCATGAATTCTCTGTGAGGATTAGTTCAAATACCATTTTAGGGATGGTATAGTTATTGCAGATACCTAGGGTAGGAATAGACTACAGATTTGTGAATAAGGAATAGAAAATCCTTGTGAATAAGAATAGAAAAAAGACAGCCAGATTTCAAAGAGCATATCTATAATCAAAGGCTAGCTGCCTTCTTTCAGGTAAGAGGYTGAGACAGGAGGATTGCAAGTTCAAGGCCAGCCTTATCAACTTAGTGAGACCCTGTCTCAAAATAAAAAATAAAGGGACTGGAAATGTAGTTCAGTGGTAGAGCACTCCTGGGTTTAATTCCTGGTACCAAAAAAAAAAAAAAAAAAAAAACAGAGAGAAGGCCAGTTGTGGTATGGAAAGGGTGGTATAAGATGAACTTAGAGAAGAAACATGGGGTCGATCCCATGAATATGTTTTTTTTTTTTATTTTGATGGGAGCATTTCCAAACATTTTCCTTTGGATGGCTGCAGAAGACAAGAGAAGATTAAGGGTTATCTGCAGAATACTTCCCCCATATGTCTCCTTGCAAGTTGAAATGTGTTTGACAGCATCAAAACCTTCTGCTCTAGGCCTTAGTTCGGACCTGCCCTGGGCTTACTGTAGTCCTGTGTCAGCACAGAGTCCTGAGAGTGTTGACTGTCTGATACTATGATCACATTTTTCTGCAAAAATAAGTAAATCAATCTCAAGATTCTCCCATCAAAGAAATTGTAACAGCTTCTGAGTTCTTGACTCTTATACTTCCTCTTCCCTGTGGCAAGGTTGTTCCTTGTGATTTGCCACATTCTGTGATTATCTTCTTCATTTCTTGGGAGTTTTTTTTTTTTGTTTCTTCTCCCTCAGAATGTGAGCTTACCGACAACCGCAGAGAGCTACATACTCAGTTGTGTTTACTATTCTGTCCCCCAGTGACTTATAAAATAGTTGACATATAGTAGATGCTCAATGAGTATTTGAATGAGACGGGGAAATATGTCCGCCCATATATATAAGTAGAAATACACATAGATTTTTTAAACTATTGATATTATTTAATTCTTTCATAGAATGTCTGGGGTATACCTCCTCTGAGCCCTCCGTCTCAGTTGAGGTATCTGTTTTCACAGAGGTGTTCTTTGAGCACTGATTAAAGAATTTACCCCCATTACTTAAAGAAAATCATAGTCATTTTATTTTTATATTAATTACTGCAGTCTGAAATAATTTATTCCATAAGTATAAACTCATGTAAGCAAAATAAGTCATTGAAACAGAAAGCATATTTAGGACTAGAAGTTGCTCTTTGACAAACAAGGGGACTGCAGTGGTTGGAGGATAGGAGGATAAGAATTGTGTATTTGAAAATTGGGGTCCGGACACAGGCTACAATGGAAGGAAATACTTAATTTCACCTAAAAGAAAAAATAAGAGTAATGAGGTAGTCAAGAGGTAGAAATTCTTATAAGTAAGCATGATAATGTGGCATTAGTTACCAGCTTAACAATATAAAGTTTTTTATAAGAACCATGTTATCAGAAATCTGCAGTCTCCATTTGATTAATAATTTATTCTGCATAAATAATGTCGGGCCTGATAATTTATGCACGTGCCTTATCTGTGATCCTTATTTCCTTTAATATGGTTTCCTTTATAAAGGATTCTTTGCTGTGTAGAAATCTTCATAAAACAAAAATTATAGACTCCCCCTGCTGGATATGATTGGTAGAACCTGCAAATTATGTTACTTAGCATATATGTATTTTTTTTTCAAAGTTTTTTGTACTAAAATACACATAACATAAAATTTGCCATCTTATCCATTTTAAATTTACAGTTGAGTGGTACTAAATACAAACCTACTGGTGTGCAGTATATAATATGTAAGGACTCATTTACCTCAGGTTTCAAGTTCAAAATTTCCTTCTTCACAGCCTCACTAAGCAGCCTTTTGATCACACCTTTCCCATCGCCAAGCTCCTCTACATCTTCTTCCAGCAGTTATCAGCGCCGTTGGCTTCGAAGTCAGACGACAAGTTTAGAGAATGGCATCTTTCCAAGGAGGTGAGTTTCAAGTTTGTTCTTGCTGGGGAAAGTACTAGTGTAGGCAGCGTGATGGGGCCCCGCAGGGTGATCGCACTTGCCTGCTGTCAGTGGGAGGAACGGGAATCTTCAAGGAGCCTCAGTGTAACCAGAAAGTTTACAAGTTAGGCATTTGAAGGAGAAAATAGATTAAAGCTTACCAAAAGATTCTGATTTAAAAGACACTAGGAAATATCTCAGTAGTTGTGCCATGTTTGAGCTAGGTTTGGTGTTAAAGTGAGTGTGCACTCTTTTTGAGTCCCTTACAAATGTAGCTCTTGTAAGTCGTGCAGGGTGGGATAAATCTCTTCCTTGGAGTGATATGATATTTGAAAATATGACATATTCTCTATTCATATTAGTGGTTTATTCTTATTGTAAATCTTAAATTTACCAACTGAACAGGCATCAATGTAATTAAAAATATAAATGACATCAAATACTTTCTATCTTCATTTCTGTTGGTTTTGTAATCTAAACTTCAGTTATGTCTAAAACGTATATTTGATCTTAAATCAGTAGCATCTAAACTCTTCTTCTGTCACCSCAAAAGGGAAGTTTTATACATAACTATAAAAATTCACTTCAATTGATTTAGTAAATTAACTAGTAATGACTCCATCGGGATCTGTGAGGGTGTAAAAATGATTTGGCTACGTGCCTGCATTTAACCTTTTATGCACTGGTAGGGAAGATGATATGCACCTAAATAATGGTATAAAGAGACTACATGCTATAGGGAGGCATAAAGTGCTTTGGAACTCAAGGAAGGAGAAAACACAGTGATGGTTGCACAGRAAGTGGGGACCCCGTGGAGGAGAGGGCACTGAAAGGATAAGCAGAGAAAGAAGAGGTTAGAGCATCTCTTCTGTTCCTCTCACAATTCTAGGGAGCAAGACAAGAAGAAAAAAGTAGAGCTGCATTATTAAATAAGGARCTGATTTTTGGTTGATGGACTTCGAGTGAAATGGATGGGAGCTTGGCACTTGTTGTGAGGACAAGTCCTGCATGTTAGAACAAGTTAACCTGGATTCTAAGCACTGCTTCCACATCTGCATTAGTGATAATAATATTAGTTTCAGCCTCAAAGGGTTGTTCAGATGGCCAAATAAGGTACAGCAAGTCAGGTGTTAGCCTGGACACAGCATATGGTGAATAGAGTATTGGCCAATATGATTTGTTTGCTGTTGCTACTGCTATCACTGTCATTGCTATTACTACAACTGCCAGGAGTTGGYGCCATCACCAGCCCCACCCCGGCATTATGATAGCCGTGACCAGAAGAGATGGATCTTGGAAACCCTCCCTCTTAGCCATCTCTTTGCTGAAAATGCTCTTTTATTCCTTCAGGTTTATGTCCCAAGTTGAGTATAGCATTTCTCCATTCCACTCCACTGAAATCCTTCAAAATTCTAATTTGAAGTAAGGACTGACATTGGGAATTAATCAATCTCTAGTGAATTTTTACCTTAAATAAGACTCTAACATTCAGAAAGCCTATGAATACAGTCAGGGCTGATATATAATTTGTGGGACCAGTGCAAAATAAAAATGCCAGGCCCCTTGCTCAGAAAGTAGGAAAAATGCTGTTAAAGGTACTGAAAAGTAAAACTTTGCCTTTAAAAATATTAGTTATAAAACATAATAGAGATAACAGTGATATGTAAATAGCAACATAAACTTATAAATTCCAAAAATATTTTTGGTATAATTTTATATACTGCTATAAAAATACTTAATATGAAATCTTGATTTATTGTAAGATTTTTCAGGCTTTTCTGCAAATTCACTATCATTGAAATTTCTACTTTAGCAACTTGTCTTTCAGTTGATATTGAAAGTGGCATTAGTCATTCCTGGCAAATTCAGAATGGCAAATATTTTTTTATAGTTATTTAGAGAAGGATCTTTCTACTGAGGCGTTGGGATGTGACAACATTGGGATGAATGACTGATAAACTTTTGATCAGGTGATTCTTGTGGAACAGTTTTCTAAAAAGATTAAATTCTTCACAGAAGTCCATTTTGTGTTAAATCTGAATTTAATTATAGATATAAATTTGTATGTGGCTATTTAATATTTCCTTTGATGTTTCCTAGAACTTGTATTTACCTTACAAGAAACTGAATGTCCTCATAAACTGTTCAAAATGTCTGTTTATGCATTCTGTTGCTATTTCTTCAAATATGAGGAAACATTAATTTTAAAATGATCTTCCTTATTAGTAATTTGCCTATCTGAATGTTCATATAGAAACAGTGAGGTTTTTTTTTTCTGTTCAATACAACAGTCTTTCCATTAATATTCTACTTCTATACCTGTGAATATTGCTTTGTAATATTGCAGCAATTTTCAGAATCAGAGATGACAGCTTTTTGAAAGATTCTAATAACTCCCAATTCACTTTATTGCAGTGTCCATGTGTATGTCTTTGCTTTGTGATAATTTACTCCTTTAGGGCTTAGGTCAGGAAGTTAAATATTTGTGTAAACTCCTTAGGGAAGGGCTCCAATAGTGGATGGACAAGCTGGCCTCTTCCCATGATTCCTGTCAGAGGCCCTCCCTTCTTTTCTCATTCCCCTCCCATAACTGGCCACTGTTGCTTCTGCTGTTACTACTGTCATAGCCATCAGTCTGGGTCCAAGTCCAGCCTGCCATCTTGGMACCTTGTGGCACCCTGTCCTGCTTCAGATGTGTTGGTGTAAGTCTGACTGTCAGGCCTGAACCCAGCCATGTATAGACTGCTGCCCCATATCTTCCCTGCTCATGTGCAAATATCATTGTCACATTAGACTTCACTTAAAGGACACTAGTACAAAGATAAATTATTAAGAATTCAAGATGCCAGTTGCAGAACACTATACCAATCCAGGGGCCTTTCTGAGAGCAGATTTAATGCCCATGAAGCCAGCCCTGAGTATAGTATGTTGAACATTGAGAATATATATGTAGAAGACATTTTGACTTGATTACCTGTACCTGAAGATCAATCTCTTCATTCAAAGGATGTTGCTGTTAATCCACTCCATTTTGGCAAGTAGTGGGTAAGAAAATCAGTTTCTTATACTAGAGACAAGAGAACAGTAGGTATCAAAAATTATTACTTCTGACCAAGAGAAAATTCACAGTAATTGAAAACTTCTTTTTTTAAAATCATTTTTTAATATTGTTTTTTAGTTTTAGGTGGATATAGTATATTCTATTCTTACGTGGTGCTGAGGATCGAACCCAGCCAGCACCTCATGCATGCTAGGCAAGCACTCTATCTCCGAGCCACAACCCCAGCCCCTGAAAACTTCTTTTCTAAGAGAATTAAAGGCAGTCAGGAATGATATTTGAATCCGTAACAGGTGGCACCTCACTGACCTCAGGGCCCCCTGCTGTACCTGGTGATATGCTTTTGCAGCTTGGGCATTTGATAGGTAGTACCAGCAGTAGTACTAGTAAGGAAAGAAAAGCCACAAAGATTGTGCCACTCAGGCCATTGAAACTTCAAAGGAGCAAGATAAAATAACCCAGAAAGCCTTTTGATTTGATTTGTTTGATTTATAAATGGAATCAATCAGTCAGGCATGATGGTCCACACCTATTATCCCAGCTACTTGGGAGGCTAGAATGGGAGGATAACAAGTTGGAGGCCAGCTTGAGCTTAAGAAGACCCTATCTCAAATGAAATGAAAGGGGCTGGTGACATAGTTCAGTGGTTGACTGCTTGCCTAGTATGTGCAAGGCCCTGAGTTCAGTCCCCAGTACCTAGGGGAAAAAAAATGATTGAACAAACCATATGAAGTTGCTGATGGGATGTTCTGTGACAACAAAAATGTCAATTTCCTGTGGTCCAATGTAATTCATAAGGTTCATTGTAAGTCAAAGCTGACATAAGTAACAAGCCAAGTAGTCCTGATACAATGATAGGTTGTCGATAAATATTAAAATAATTATAGTTTTTGCTTTATCTGTGATCTTAAAGTACTTATAATGTACATAAATGTGTATTCAGAGCATTAATTAAATTCTCTTTATAAAGAATAAGATTGTGTAGGGTGGTTGGTATTGTTTTGATATTCGACTTTCCCCAAAGCTCTTGTGTGAAACAATGCAAGAAATGTAGAGGTGAAATAATTGGGGTATGAGAACCTGAACCTAATCAGTGCATTAATTTGCTACTAGGGTTCAACTGGGTGGTAACTGTAGCCAGATAGGGTGTGGCTGGAGGAGGTGGGTCTCTGGGGGTGTGCCATTGTGGTTTATATTTATATGTCCCTGGTGAGGGGAGCCTCTCTCTGCTTCTTGGTGTCCATGTCTTGAGCCTCTTTGCTATGCCATACTTCCACCATGATGGTCTGCCTTACCTCAGGCCCTGAGGAATGGCATCTGCCATCCATGAATCGATTGAGACCTTTGAAATCATGAGCGCCAAATAAACTTTTCCTCCTCCAAAACTGTTCTAGTCAGGTCTTTTGATCACCACAGTGAAAAAACTTAACTAAAACAGTGGTCTTTCTGCAACCTGGAGCCCATTAGCTGATCTGGTTGCTTCTAGCTTCTTCCCCTCAGTGCTCCAACTGTTGTAATGCCTCAGATGGCATGAGCACCAGCCAACAGATGAGGAATGGGGTCAGAGTTTGGTCATTTCCAGTGCCCAGTAACTGAACCTATATTAGAGACAGAAACTCTGGGTTCTAACTCTAGCATTGTCACTAAGAAGCTTTTTGTTCCCCAGGCAATTGAGTAAGCACCCTGCCTCAGTTTGTTCATTTACAAATCAGCCTATGCACCTTACATGGTTGATGACCTGTGGGAAAAGGTACATGGAAGTATTGGGCATGTATACTCAAATTTTTAAAAACATTCTTTTATTATGGAATAATTTTTAAAAATGGAATTATGATACTATTCGATCTGACTTATTCCAGTTTTCATAATGGATCCAAGACTATACTCAGTTGCTTTAGAATTTACTAGAGGATATATGTAGTGAAGCAAGGAGGATTGCTACTGTTACAACTATGGAAGTTTTGCAGAAATTCAGCAGGTGGCGCTCTCTGTTACGTTAAACCGAGGRGAGAATTTATTCGGTAGAACTGAAGATAATGGATGAAGGATAAAGGTGCAGAGTTCAGTGTTTGTAACTATTAGATTATTAAAGATCATGTTGGCCTAATGAGGAGTGGACTGGTATGAGAGTTTACTTTTGAAAAAGAAGAGACATAAGTACAAGCATGTTTAACAGTACAAGCTCAGAAGTATTTTTTTATAGACAACAGAAATAAACTGGTGTAGGAAAACAAGGTTTTAACAGAGGTATTTTAGAAAAGAATGGGGCATTGTGTGAAATCACACATTCTAAAAGATTCTCAAAGAATTTTTTCTGATGAGGACGATCTAGGGATTTCTTGAAGTGTATAGTGGATGGTTTATTATAAAAWGTAACATTAATAGGCTGAGGTTGTGGCTTAGTGGTGGAGCACTTGCCTCACTCAGGTGAGGCACTAGGTTCGATCCTCAGCACCACATAAAAGTAAATAAATAAAATAGATGTATTGTGTCTATCTATAACTAAAAAAAAAAAATTAAAAAGTAACATTTACAACCCTAGAGATCGTGTGCTGCCAGTGGTGAGTCTGAAGTGAGAGCATTTTACATACTAATCAGCCATACCTGCATCTCTGAGAACTTGGGTGAAGTTAAGGGACATAGTAGCACATCTCTGAGATTAGAACAAAATTAAAATTAGAACAAAATTTAAAATTAGCTTTTCTAACCATAAAAACTTTTTTATCTGTTTATGTCTTATAAAATCTGGATGTATTTGAACTTTATAGATCGTGAGTACTGCACCAAATATAGGACCAAGGACAGGAAGCTAACTGCCTTGAATTCTGCCCAGCATCAGGAATTGTGTTATAAGGCAGCAGTACCCTCCTGTATTTGTCAGAGATAAAAGCTAAATGGTAGTGAGAAAGAGAAAAGAAGTTGCATACCTACCATGTGCCAGGCACGGTGCTTTCCTTTACAATGTTATATCCTTTGCTTTAGTGTCTTTGTAGAACAAAGCAAATTAATTTTTTTATCCTCACTCTTGCTATTAGCAGCTTTGTGGCCGCTATTCTGGCTTTTCACAATAGTTAAATAAGAGATTTTGTTAGGCCATAGTAGTGAAGATTATCCTATAAGAAAAATTGTGTATACATTCAGAATTTATTCACGTCGTGGTTATTTTATCATAGAAGCAGAGTCTCAAAAGAATCATAAGTTTTTGAGAATTTCACTAAAACAGAAGAGGTGATTCTTTCTGCTTGGGGAATTTCTCAGAGAGCTCAGTCGATCACATGGCTTAATCTGAGCACTGAGAGGAGTTTCATCTAGTGGTCTTAGTATCTTTGGGAAAGTTAGCCTGGAAAGCCAGTAAATATTCAAATGCAATGCCTGTGTTAGAATACTGTGTACAATTTTTCCTTTTTTGACATTCTTATCTGTTGATGTCAATCAAAACAAAGGGCTTATGAATTTTGAGTGAACAGGTATTTCATACCACTCCTAAATACCACCAGTCTACAAAATGATACAGGGGAAAGGGTGAGAGTCTAACAATRGTACATTCAAATTAACTTTTGGTTTTCATTTGAGTTTCTTTTCATGTTACAATAATAATGTGTGGCAAGCCAGTGTTCTCATTTTTCACACAGGGAATCATAAAAGAGAATGAACGGGAAGTAGATAAACTCTTTACCAAGACTCTGAGGGTTCTTGATAAGCTTTCTGAGTGTTGTCCTTGGCATGACAGTTGACCATCAGTGTGACTCATTGATGCATGGCAACTTTTCAAACTTTTTCTTCCTCCATTCAGGTCCACTGATGAGACATTTAGCTTGGCTGAAGAAACCTGTAGTTCTAATCCAGCCATAGTTAGGAGGAAGAAAATTGCCATAAGCATCATCTTTTCCCTGTGTGAGAAAGAAGAAGCTCAACGGAATTTCCAGGACTTCTTTTTTTCTCATTTCCCCCTCTTTGAATCTCACATGAACAGGCTAAAGAGTGCAATTGAAAAGGTAACAACATCATAATCTAATGTCAAATGGAGAAGTGATTATGGGGTTTTAAGGATGGCAGAATCTCTGTTTATGTACCAGATCACCTTCCTAAGGAAGTTAAGTCAGCCCCAGCAGTGATGGGTCCTTAGGAACATTGATGTTAGCTACCAGATACTGGTTGCTTTAGGAAAGGAAATTACTGCTTTCTAATGACTGAAGGCATTATTACTTTGGGTGTGCTTAATTTATTATAATTCACTTTTTTAATTAACGAAGCCCAATAGATAAGTTGTAAGGTAGTTTCTTCTTTGAGTGATTGGGCTTGCTTTCTCTCTACCAAGGCCATGATCTCCTGTAGGAAGATTGCAGAGTCAAGCCTCCGTGTCCAGTTTTACATCAGCCGTCTGATGGAAGCTCTGGGAGAATTCAGGTAAAGTCAAGTTTTGGCAAATCCAACAAGAAATTGATGAAGAGCAGCAGTGGCAGCAGCCATGGATTTTAGGATTATAGGGAGAATTGAAGGGCTAGTCACTTCAGTGGCTCCGCCCTTCAAGATGGAAACAGACCAAATGGAGCAAGAAATTTAAATAATCCAACACTAAAGAATCTTTACCCCTACCTGACAGTTCTTATATGATTGTTCTGAACAGAGTAAGTGGAGAAAACTGACATTTGGTGTGTCTTATAAGTCTGTTCATTGTCTCATGTCATCCAACAACAATTCTAGGAGTAAGCACTACTACCCCCATTTTACATATGTGGAAAACTGAGTTCAAAGGTGCTCATCCAGAGCACATAATGGAGAACATGCATATCAGCAACACCTATGTTCCAGTTTGCCAGCACAGTTCTAGTTTGTATCCACTGTCTTCCTGTACATGTCCTTGTCTGGACGTTACTTATCTCATCACCCTCATATGTCTTCATAGGCAGTTTCTAATTAATGACCTTTGTACTCTGGAATCCACTTTTCTAGAGTCCTTGCTCCTGGTGTCTCTGTAGAAAGGTAATCTGTTCTGGGTAGCAGGTGGAATTCTCTCCCACCATGCCGAATTGAAATTGTTGCACCATCTCTTGGAGCTAGTCATGGTGGTGAATGGAATCTCGCTCCAAAGTAGCCATATAATGAGTCAAACTGTTACTCCCCAGCTGAGGGATAAAATATATTTTATAATTTCTAGAATGTTAGGACATTTTTGTGGTGCTTAAAGTATCTGCTGGTCAACTGTATAATACTGCTTACAATGAAATCACCGTGATTTTTGAATGTAAAGTACTCAAGTAGCACCGTAGGCTTTATCTGATGATTGTTAAGACTTAAGTCACATGTTTGAAGAATATTGTGAAGTTGTGCTTTTTGATGGCAACCTGATGATTAGTAAACCTCCCATAGTTTGTTTGGGCAACACTAGAGTTACCTGTTGCTCTGCTGTGGTCAGACTCAAAGCTGGATTTTGCTTGAGTCTGGGTACTACTATAATGAGAGTATTAATTTTTCAAGAAACTGAAAGAAAAGAACTAAAAAGCTTCACTGTGTCCATAGATGGGTCTTATTTTTCAACAGTCTCAACCGCCCAAAATGGTGACAGAATTAAGTTTCAGCATTTAGAGTCCTTGGTTTTACTAAATGAATTCTGGTGCTGTTTACTGGTAGCTTGTCATTGCTACCTAACTCAGCAAATACTGTGTTTTTGTATTACCAAGGTGGAATTCTCTTAGGTCCCAGTTCTTTGATATACAGTCAGAAAATCAAGTCAATATGTCTCTTCTATCTTGATTTGGGAAGGGTGGATGTGTTATCAAATCAGAGATATATTAGCCTTTTACCCCGTGGAGAGCCTAAGTTTTTCTACACATTGAAAAAGCACTTGTAACTCATGTAGCTTAAAGCAGAGCCCTCCATGCCTGGCAATGAGACCTGAATTCACATCCTAAGCTTGCCATTAAATATCTGTATGTCTTGGCAAAGAACCTAATCTTCTCTAGGCCTCTGTATAAAGTTAGTATGTAGTATAGTAAAGAAGAGCAACTTCTATAGGTTTTTTTTTCCTATAAAATAAATAGAGTGCTTTAACTAACAAAATCAAAACATTATTCAGAAATTGGGAGAGTTGAATTAACTGATCACATTTTTAATATAGTATATACTTTCTCCCTATGTCTCGTTTACTATAAAAATGGTTGTATGATACCCCACAAATATGTATTTTTATGTTTTATGTGTAGGTTAAAATATATGAAAATTTAAGTAGTTGTAGTTTCTGACACAGGATATGGTGAAAATAAATTGTTTTTACAATGAATATTTTATGTTAGAGAATTGGCATATTTTTTCTGTAAGGGGTATCTGTCACATCTATTCAATTTTACCATCATCCTACAGAAGTAGCATTAGATAGTATGTCAGTGAATGAGTATGTGTGTGTCCCAGCCAAGCTTTATTTACATAAAATATAGGAGTCTGATTTATCCTGTAGTTCATACTTTGCTAATCCGTTATATATACTTCTTGAATCTCTTAAGGACTGCAGAGATCCAAATTTTTCTCCTTTATTCTTTCTTTTTCTTTTTTGGTACCAAGAATTCAACCTAGGGTCCCTTAACTACTGAGCCACATCCCCAGCCCTTTTTTATTTAGAGACAGAGTCTCCCTACAGCCTCACTAAGTTGCTGAGGCAGACTTCAAACCTATGATCCTCCTGCCTCAGCCTCCCAAGCCTCTGGGGTTACAGGCATGTGCCACCATGCCCCATTCTCCTGTGTTCTTTTGTACCGAGATTATCTTAAAATATTTGTGACTGTTTTATGCATCCCTTCTCTCTCTCTTTCTCTCTCTCTCCTATAGAGGGACTATCTGGAATTTATATTCTGTTCCAAGGATAGCTGAACCAGTATGGCTTACTATGATGTCAAACACTTTGGAAAAAAACCAGCTCTGCCAGCGCTTTCTCAAGGAGTTTACACTTCTGATAGAACAAATCAACAAAAATCAGTAAGCTTCAACTCTCTGGAGGCTTGTATGTGAATTCTATAGCCAGTGCATGTGCTGCATAAGACATGCCTCATCCAGTATTGACTAATCTGGTTGTATTTTCTTCCATTTCTCCAAGGTTTTTTGCTGCCTTACTGACTGCAGTGTTAACCTACCACCTGGCTTGGGTACCAACTGTCATGCCTGTTGATCACCCTCCCATTAAGGCCTTCTCAGAGAAACGTACCTCTCAATCAGTGAACATGCTGGCCAAAACACATCCGTACAATCCTCTCTGGGCACAGCTGGGTTAGTACCTCATTTGACTGTTCAGATAACATAGGGGCAAAATTGGAAAAATGCTAGAATTTATAGCTTATGTGGACTGTCCAACCCAGTAATTCAAAAATTGTCGCTGAGCAGGGAAAGAATAGAAGAGTGACCCACAGAATCTAATTGTCAGACTACTACCTTCGTTTTTTTTCCCCTACTGATAGCTTTGTTCTTTTTAAGGAATATGGGCAGCCATTCTCCATTTCACAGTGCCTGTTCACTCTAGCACAYGATTTCTTAACCTCAGCATTACTGACACTTTGGGCCAGATAATTCTTTATTAGTTGAGTTGTGTGGGGGTAGGAAGAGAGCATCTTAGGCATTGTGGGATGTTTAACAGCACCCCTGAACTCTGTCTTATAGATACCAGTAGAACCCAAAGTTGTAACAATTAAAAAATGTCTTAAGACACTGTCAGATGTTCCTGGGAGAGGGGCAGCTAAACAAACCCTGTGTGACAACCACTGCGCTAGAGGGTGGCTCAGATGGGAAAAGAATAAGACAAAGAGGAAAGTAGAGGCATGCTATAATCTTGTCAGTTATAGCATAAGTAGAAATTAGAGGTGGTATAGACTTTCTCAAACCTTGTCCTGAGGCATGGCATAGGATTCTGTACCATGGTTGGTGGGTGGTTTAGAGTTTGGGGTTTGTGAGAATCAGGTTTGCATATTTGGGCTCCTGTGGAGAAGAGGCATCCTCTAGAGYCTCGCACGCTCTATACCAGACCTGTGCTGCACATGGGAGGGGGAGTGGAATACCTCTGGGAGCTGGCTGTCTCACAGACAAAGCAGATCCATATTCACATGACTAAAGAGCATCCTGCTTATGGCTTTAATAAGGGTGTACAAAGGGATGCAGGAGACAGTACAGTGGGAGGTGAGGAACTTGAGGTGAGGAGTGCTGGGTCTCAGCCTCCACTGGCAAGTCACTTAGTTTCTCTGTGCCTGTTGTTGTTTCTTCTTCTACTTCTCCTCTTCCTTTCTTCCCTTTCCCCTACCTCTTCCTCTCCTCCTCCACTTCTTCCTCTTTTTTCTCTTCCTCTTCTTCCCCTCCTCTCCTCATTTGCCAGGCAAGCACTTCACCACCAAGCCACACCCCAGCCTCATGCTTACTTTTGCATCTGTCAGATTATCAAGTGGGGTGGTGATGGGACTTACTCCCCGGTTGCTGTGGGATTAGAATGGCTGTATAAAGYACCGTTGTTATGTTGCTACTGCAAATTTATATTGCGGGGTCCCTTGAGAGAAAGAAAGAGTATGAGGGGGATTTTCAGGGAAGGCTGTACCTGAGGAAATGTAAAATGGAATTTTCCAGAAAGAAGAAGGGGAAGGGAAAAAAAAAAAAAAAAAACTAGGGAAGAGCACTCCAGTCTTAGAAAACAGCATGTTTAAATAACAATATCAAAAGCTGAAGCAGTGAGCCAAGCACTCTTTTAAGTGCTTTTTACCCATTAATTCATGTGTACACTCCTACCCTATTACTATTGTTCTTTTTTTTTTTTTAAGTATTTTTCAGTTGTAGAGTATTGARCCCCGTGTCTCACATGTGCTAGGCAAGCATTCTACCACTGAGCTACAACCCCACCCCTATTGTCCTTATTTTAGAGCAATAAAAATATCTTCTTGTCCTTGTGCCCTTGGTCATGAGATGTGTAAGAAGGAATATGTAAGTCTCATGGTGGGGAGAGGAGTGTTAATAGATGTATTCTTTAAGCCATTTTAATACAATACTTTATTACTTGATGCAAATAACCCACACTAAGCTCAGGAAGACCTCAGAACGTGCCTGGCTCAGCCTTGCTCATACAGTTCTTCCTTGGGAGGGTGGAAGGTTGTTCTTGTTATGGGACAGTAGCCTTTTAAAAATGTAGTATTAAATGGTGAAGGAAGGGGGGCTGGATATTAAGGAAATATAGTATCTCAAGCTGCCAGGTTACCAATTTAAAAACAATGCTAATTAAGCAGTTTGCATTTAATTAGATAAATGTATTTATAATTAGGCATGCTTCTTATTTGCAGCTGAGCTAATTGGGAGCCATTAATTCCCTGTTTTCAGCATAACAAGGCAAAATCCCTTCCTATGGGTTTACATTTGTCATTTTTCATTGCAGATCATGTGTTATTGAAGGTCTTCAATTCTTCCTTCCTCCAAACAATCCAGTAGGGGTCTAGCTATTGATTAGAGTAGTGTGAGGAGGAGACAAGGCCCTGGTGCAAGAGAGGATGTGCTAGCTTCGGAAAGCCAAGTGTGAATGATGGTTGAAGTAGAAAAGATTCTGTTTGGAATCATTTCAAAGACTTCTCAGAGCTCGCCAGGACAGTTAGCACCACGGTGCCCACAATTCAGTATGGCTTCTCAGTGCTTCCTGGCCAGGGAGGGTTGAAGAAAGAAGGTGCAGCCCCTTGTTTTCACTCTCAGGAGCTTAGTGATCTGTGTCTCTACCTCACACGGCCCCTCTTGAAAGGGCTTTTCCACAGTGAGGATCACTACCCACTAGTGGGCTGCAGAAGCAGTTTAGTGTGTTGAAAGGCATCTTAGAGGTATAATTTTTGTACAGTTCGAGTTCCAGAGGGCATATGAGGCTTCTCTGTAAAATGTGCTTCTTTGTTGGCATGAGGACACAAAGTTTGAAAGCCACTCTATGGTGACACGGATGAAAGAGTCTCCTGTCTGCCTCCTTTGGACTTAATCAATGTCAAGGGTTTGTGGAAACAGAATGCAGCTTTTCTTCTTAAAAGATGTTTCATTTATTGGGGGGGGGGAATATTTGAATTACTTTTTCATTTTTCTACCTAAAGTTTAAGTTACATTTTTCAGAAAGCAGTAAAATTAGACTTTAAATTAGCTAAAAGAAAAAAGGAAAACCACCTGGTCAGAATTGAATAACCACATTTAAATAAGCCAGGTTCACAAAAKAAATTAGAAGATATCTTGAGTTAGTGATACAGAGATGCTGGATGGGGTGGGAGCCCTTTGCAGGGGTTCCAAGCAGACAGGTGAGCACAGTGGTGTCCCATCAGCACACCTGGCTTCAGTCTCCTCCCTCACATGCTCACGTATCTGCCAGCCTTTGTTTGTTCCTCTGTCTTTACCAGGCTCCTGCGTTCTTGTGGCTCCCTGCCCTGATATTTTCTGCCCTCTGCTTCTAGTTTCTATTCCTGTCATTGTTTCTCTCTAGACCTGTTTTCTTTTCCTCTCCCTGTCTCCTGGGTGCTTTCTTTTCCCCGTGTTTTGCTCCCCTGGATTTTGGCTGTACTCTAAAGCCCTGTGGTTCATACCTCTCTAACTTACTGCACCTCTCTCCTTTCCCCTCGTTGCCTTTCTTCCCTTCTCACCTTTCTCTTCTGTAGTTTTCTCTCTTCCTCCCTCGCTGTCACTGCCTTCTCTCTGCCTCTTTAATTCTTCCTTTTTTTCTTCTGCTTTGCTCCTGATTTCTGTCTTTTTCCTTAAATTTTCATTAATTAAGGTAAAAAACATGTCACATACAGTTTATCATCTTCACTGTCTCTGAGTAGACAGTTTGATAGTGTTAAGTATATTCACCTTATTGTGTAACTTCTTCATTTTTAAAAATCATCCTCATGAAAGCAAAGCAGTCTTCTCTAAAATTAGTAGCTTCGTTAGTCCAGGACTCAAAAATTGCCTTCTAGTCAGGAGCTAATAAATCTTTGATTTTTATGGGTCTATTATTTTAATGATGCATTATTTTATGAAATTTGTCCCTAAAGTAATAACATTCATTGCTCTCATTACTTTATATATTTTATTATAAATTTTAATAACTTGCTTTTTTAAATCTTTTACTACTTATTCCTTGGTCATTAAAACTCACAATACTAAAAGTTAAATGGATTGTTAAAAAATAATACTGTCATTCTGAGCAGCCTTTCTCATGTGGTTTGTTATACCAGATTTTGAAAGTGTTAATTAATTACTCCTTAATTAACATTGAGGATGATTTAACAGAAATGTCCCATAAATTTCTGAAGTGACTATAATATGGGCACATACAGTCAGAGGAGAGTAACAGAATGTGCTCTTGGTCTATGAGGTTTTCTCAAACCAAAGCCTGAGCATCACACTACAGTCCCTGAATCACTCTTTTCATTTTTAGGATGATTCCTCAGTGAGTAGCAAAAGTTCTATTAGCTTACAATCTAGTCTTTTTATAGAGAGGATGTTTTTTATTATTTCTGTCATGTTCTTTAAATGTTCGGAGGAGCCATACACTAGGGAATGCTCTCCAAAAGATGTACTTCCTTGTGGTTCCCCAGGGAGAAGCACTTTTGATGGGTTCTCATAACTTTTTTTCTTTTTTTTTTTTTTTTGGTACTGGGGAATGAACTCAGGGACACTTGACCACTAAGCCACATCCCCAGCCCTATTTTGTATTTTATTAGAGACAGGGTCTCATTGAGTTGCTTAGAGCCTCACTTTTGCTGAGGCTGACTTTGAACTCACGATCTTCCTGTCTCCACCTCCTGAGCTGCTGGGATTACAGGTGTGCGCCACTGCGCCTGGCCTCATAACTTTTTCTTCAGCCTTAATCTGTTAACTTTAGGTATTTTTTCTAATATATGTTTTTATAAATACCCTCCTGCCTCTCTTTGGCACATATATACCTCAGATATATACTCATCTGAGGGTATTTATAAGGGTATATACTAGAAAATAAAAACTTCCAAAGTTTTCATTTGTAAATGTTTACCATATAGCAATTTTTTTTTTAAACTTAGTATCTTTTCTGGTTTTGATTTCTTCCAGTGTTCTGGTTATTTTTTAATGGTTTCTGACTCCAGGTTGGTTATGGCAGATATAATGAACAGTGCCAGTCCAGTCAGTCAGTGTTGTGTTTGGTCTGGTTGCATATTGAGAGCACTGGTCTTAGCCCTCCTTGGGCTAGTTTGCTGGCCAGCAGGCCTCATGAGCACAGCACCACCACTGCCAGGCACCAAAGGTAGTGGCTGTGGCCTGGCCAGGCCTTTCCAGGCTGCCTCTTCATTCTGGAGGAAAACAAAAACATGGTCATTTCTAGAAATTAGAAATCAGGTTTATCTGAGGAAGTAATTCTAGGTTGGCAATCTTAGTCATCTGTTCTGCTCTTGTCAAGACTGATATATTGATGCATGCTAACCCAAGAGGACTTTGTCTTGGTGTCCATCTTGACTCTCTAGGTGACCTTTATGGAGCTATAGGCTCTCCAGTAAGACTGACTCGCACCGTGGTGGTGGGGAAGCAGAAGGATTTGGTCCAGCGCATTCTTTATGTCCTGACCTACTTTCTCCGTTGCTCTGAGCTACAAGAGAACCAGCTGACCTGGAGTGGGAATCACAGTGAAGGTGACCAAGTTATAAATGGGAGCAAGATTGTAACAGCCTTGGAGAAAGGAGAGGTGGAGGAGTCCGAGTATGTGGTAGTGACAGTGAGAAATGAGCCTGCTCTGGTACCCCCCATCCTACCAACAGCAATGACTGAGAGAAGGAGCCCCGGGCCCACAGGGTTAGCTGGGACTCCAGAGGGCACTGACATTAGAGACCTGGATCCCAGACCTGAGAAAGAAGGAAAGAAGAGGCCAGACCAGGGATCCGAGGCTCATAGCATGGGATTCCAAGAGCCAGAATTAGACAGTTCTTGGAAACCTCATCCCCTTTGTGGGGATGAAGGAAGTGAAAAAGAGGCACCATATGATGTCCCTTTGAGGTTTCCCAGGTGTGCCATTCCGGGGGCAGAAAAGAAGATCAGCCGGCCAGCTGCCAACGAGGAGCTGAAAGAGGAGATAACTAAGAAGCTACCTGAGCGGTCAGCAGCCTGGCCTTGCCCTTGTCCTGACAGACATTCCCGAGAGAACTCTCCAGTAGAAAAGGTCACTTTCCAAATTGGAAGCTCCCTATCTCCAGAATCTGACCTTGAAAGCCGCACCAAAAAAATGGAGGAGCGACTGAAGGCCTGTGGACAATACCCAGAAGTGGCCAGTATCTCAGCTGAGTCCAGTGTGGCTGCTGACGTGGCTGAGAGCCAGCAGGTTTCTAGGTGCTCCTTCAAGCCTGGCTTTCAAAAGAATGTCTGCTGTCCTCAGAATCGATCTTCTGACGGAGAGGAAGGTGAATCTGACAGAGGTTTTGCTGAGGACAGAGGTATCAGACCTGACGTGGCAGCAGATGCTGGGCAGCTCAGCCAAGCTGTCCCCACTGACAGTGCGGCGGGAACTGGAAGGAGAACACTGGAGACAGCTAGAGGTTTGTATTTGAAAGATGTGGAAGGACCTTCATTAGAGCCTGCCCCCGACAGGTGTGTCCAGCAGGACTCTGGCCTCTTGGTTGCTGCAGATGTCCCCTGTGGGGATGCCGATAGGAAAGCTGACTTCAGGATCGAAGGAGACATTCCCAGAAATGAAAGCTCGGACAGTGCCCTTGGAGACAGTGACGATGAAGCATGTGCTTCAGCCACATTGGATCTAGATCACAGTGGTGACAGGACTGAAGGGACCTTAGAAGTGGAGCTGCCTCTGCCAAGGTAATGCTGGCAGGCCTGGGAAGCAGAGGGGACTGGGATCTAGTGTGTTCCTGGCCTGACACTGTGATCATGGTGGCTACTGTGGGCTACTTTACACATGGTACTTTCCTTTTTCTCTTAAAATATTAGAATTGTTATCAAATAAATCAATACAAAAGTTTTCYAACSTGGGCTGGGGCTGTAGCTCAATGGCAGAGTGCTTGCCTAGCATATGTAAGGCACTGGGTACTATCCTTAGCACCGCATAAAAAACTAAACAAATAAAAAACTAAACAAATAAAGGCACGCTGTCCATCTACAACTGTAAAAAATAAAAATAAAAACTTTTCCAACCTGCTCCTCCTCCAAGGAGGCTCACTAGCTCAGGGTGGCACATCTCTCTAAGGGAGTACCAGGGATTGTCTCTGCAGCTCTTCTGACATTTGGGGAAAGGTAAGGGAGGTGGTGTGCGGAACAGGGAATCTAATTCTCTGTGGTCGCATGGAAGGTAGATGGTTGGCAGCAGATGCCTTGACTCAGAGGTGGTGGATCACACTTGCTGTGGGCCTCCTCTCCTGCTGTTCAGAGCAGCGTGAGGTGGTTGGGAAACAACACCTCTTCCTTAACACTCCGTCAGGTTGATTATTTGGTCTGTGATGACTGAAAGCAGTAATTAGAGATTTCTTCTGTTCTTCCACACTGCTGTGAGTACCACCCTGTGCAGATGGGTCAAATTCCTAAAGCCAGGCTCTTGGCAAGAGCCCCCCTCCCTCCCAGACCTTCTCTTTCACTATTTTGACAGACGTCTGGTGGAACATATGAGGTCCAAGAGCAAAATCTTAACCGGTTGTGGAAATACTTAGTTTTTTTTTTCCAGGCTTCCATTTTTAAAGAAAATTCYCTTTTATTAGTTTCACTCTCCTTCTTTTCTTATGCCAATGATCAGCTTATGGGAGGATTGGTAAAAAGTCAACCACCCTGAGTCTGTTTTATTTACTTGTGTCATTGGGATTTTTGTTCTGTTTGGAATGCAAAGAAGAAAGTACCTGCGTTTTTAACTATGTGTTTTAATGTGCCAAATATTGTTTTAGGTCTCAAAGCATCAGCAACCCAAATGTAAGAAACTTTGGCCGCTCTCTCCTGGCGGGTTACTGCCCCTCATACATGCCTGATCTGGTGCTTCATGGGACCAGCAGTGATGAGAAGCTGAAGCAGTGCCTGGTGGCTGATCTTATCCATACAGTGCATGTAAGTGACCCCAGCTTGGAGCCACTGGCCACTGAAAAGGTGTTGGCCAAGGCTGTGGCCAGCAACAGGTGTTTAGAATAAAGAGCCTTCAATTAAGGGATTGTTTTTAGAGATGTGACCAGGGTTACAGGAACCCACAAGGGCTGGCGAAGCACCCAGAGACAGGCTATTAACACGCCTGGGCTAGAAGAAGTAAAGGGAGGGATCGTGACAGCAGAGCTGTGGAGAGCTGAAGTCTGGGAGAGAGGCTGCTGGCTGCAGGCTCCCTTCCCATCCTCTCATCCTCCTATTGGCTGAGCCCAGCTGGAGGCCAGAGAGCCAGGGCGTAGCTGATGTAGATACGGTGCTATGGTCCATAGAGRTCAGCCTCCTGGGGCCTAGAATAGGACAGAGAAGGGCAAAGGAGGTGGGGAGGCCAGGCAAAGAGAATAAATAGCACAGATGGTGACAATTATACACCCTCACAGGGAAGACTGAGGAGATGTCACATATGGTTTGCTTTTTATTCGATCCTTACAAGTTCTTAGAAGTAATTTATTTTAACTGATATGTCATTAAGTTCACTTTGATGGTTGCGTGAGGATGACTGTATAAAGATTAACAAGTCTTTCTGGAAAATTGCCTTGTGGCTTCCGTTAAGTGCTTTTCTGCTATCTGCAGCGTGACAGGAACTGAGCAGTTAAGAAAACTGTGTCAATCTGATGGGCCTGTTTTTAATTGAGCTGCTATTGGGCAGATGTGCAAAAATAGATGTTTTGCATTAGAAGCCTATTGTATCTTGTGCAATAAGGGAAAGTCTTCATTACATTAAGAAAATTTGAAGTTGGCATSTTAGCTAGCCCCCTATCCAACAAGTTTTCTTTTTGCAAGGTGGAACTGAAGGCATGGCATATTATCTTTGGCCTTGGGCATATCCCCTGTAAAGGCTAAACACACATCAGACAGGCTAAATAGGCTGAGGATATTTGTGTGAAGTGGGAAGAAAAGCTCAGTAGGGAAGCAGATGTCCTCCAGACTCCTAGGAGGTAAAGAGTTGAGGGTAGGGCGGGTGTAAGCTGGGAAAGGCCCTCCCAGTGTACATGTGTACCCAAACATTCCTAATTCCACCCTCCTTTGTGGTCAGAACCATCCCTTACCAGGATATTCCTGGAATGAAGCTATGAAATTGATTTTGTCTCCTTAAATAAGATCACCATTCCTTTTCCATAGTTAGCATACTTACTTATCATTTCAGAAGTCCGTACACCAATAACCCTCGTATAAAAGCATRCCCTCAGCACATGGCATTATCTGAGTTGTCCTAAATGCTGGGTGATACCAGGCAATTTTATAGATTGCACTTGTATGTTTAGTAGCTCTCTGGAACATTAAGGTGGCAGGGGAATAGAGGACCTCATTTCCTTTTTTGCCAGCATCTTATGTGTTTGTATCCATATTTGCAAAACCTGTATTTTCCTTCTACTCTGCAGTTTGATTCCTGAGAAAGTTGGTGTTGCTCATTGGACCTTTCTTCTACAAAGCCCTGTGTTCTGCTTTTGACTCCTTTTTCTTTTTTTGGTTGGGCAGGAGTGGGTACTGGGAATTGAACCCAGGGGCACTCAACCATTGAGTGACGTCCCAGCCCTTTTTTATTTTTCATTGTGCAACAGGATCTCACTAAATTGCTAAAGGCCTTCCTAAGTTGCTGAGGCTGGCTTTAAACTTGAGATATGCCTCTGAGTTGTTGGGATTACAGACATGTACCACAGCGCCCAGCCTATGTTCTGCTTTTGACAGAGGCACCAGGAGATTGCATGTGAGCTATTGGGATCATCTTCTGTGATATCTTACCAAACTGGGGAATTTTGCCCAAATTCCCTAGACTAATTCATTAACCAAGAAGAAAATATAATCTATTGGATTGATATCCCTCCTTAACTTACTGTAAAACCATTCATGAAATTTTAAAATATTTTCTATAGACTGGCAAATTACAATTTCTGAATATCAGATTTTCATTGGTGACCATTAGTCTTAGATTTGGGAAAAAAAAAACCAACCATATTTGCCCTTTCATTCTTCTTAAAGCTTTTCCTATTTCATCTTCTCTTTTTAGAAGTAGTGTTTTCACACTGTAGCATTTCTCATTTCTTTAAACTCTGCAGTCACCCTGAGAGAGATAGTTATTATGCACAGTTGCCTATATCATTGTCAGATTGTGGGTACATCCAAAGTGCAGCCATGCATGGGTGTTAATAGGAAATGGTGAAGGGCTCATAAAAGTATCTTCACAAGTTTAATATGTTCATAATATATCCAATTAGCATTAGTGGATTTCTAATTTCACTTGACACGTTGATCATAATGAGTTTTATTTTTGAAGTAGTGTTCTCTTTAGACTGCCTCTCAGACTGGCAGTCTGGTCTCAGGCAGGCTTAATTTTTGTATTTTGTTTTTGCTTTACTTTCAACTTGAATTTACAAAAATTTGTGGAAAATAAATTAGAAGTACTTTTTAAATAATAAACTTACTGCTCTGTAAGGCACAGTATACTAGTTATTTAGTTTCTTGAGTTGTTGCCAGAGAAAGAAGACTCAAGAACAAGTCGAACTGAAAGGAATAAGCTCACTGAGGATGAGAAGATTAGAATAAAGAGCCTTATTATTGCTTGTTTCTAAAACCTGTCTTTTGGACATAAATAATTTTCAGTGTTCATGCCAATGCCAGGCTTTGGTATTCATAATTCTTTTTAGAGAAGGATTTTTAATAACTGTTTAAAGGCAATCGACTTAGGTTATTGATCTGTTTTTGAGACTAGTGCATGACTTGGATGTAAAATCTGTCGTACATAAATGTGGATACATTTGGAATTTCTTCTCCGGAGCTTAAGGAATTTCTTTCTAGAGTGTCCAATACTAAAACTTTCTTTTTGTTCTTTCCATTATCCAGTCTTATTTCTGCCAAGAGGGCTGTAGGTACCTTGAAGCAGAAAACAGACTTACTCACTTCCTTCATACCCACGCCCAGTACCTCATCTGGTACTGTCGCATTGAAAGTCTCTTACAAAAGAAAGAAAGATTAACTTTACTTCATTATTTTCATTTTTCATTGCTTTTCACATGTTAARATTTAGATGTTCTTCAAATATTTAAACACGTGTTCTTGTTTAGCCCGTGTACTGCCTCTTTTCTGTCATTTGAACTCTTTCTGTGCTCCTAATGTATAGGTTATACAGCTGCCTTAAATTAGTTCAAAGTAATATTGTTTCTTTTTTTTCCCCTGCCACATCTAAATATGCATTCTTTCCTGTTTTCCTTTGACTTGAAAAATCGGGGAGGCAGGGGTTAAGCCACTAGCACACTGTACCTATGACCCTCAAGTCAATCATTTTTTTCTCTTTTTCCCTCCTGCATCCTGTGGGCTTGTGAATCCTGCAGACTTGGGGAACATTGGGGTTTTTCTAAAAAACTGGGCAGTGAGGGTAGTGGAAGAGCACCAGCTTGGCATCAAGGGCTTGGTATTACCACTCATTCATTAACCTTAGGTAAATCATTTGCATTGCTAAGTCTCAGAATGTGTTTAGAGGATCAGATGGAATATAGTCCAGTGGTTAAGAGTGACTTCTGAAGACAGACCTTAGTTTGAATGGTAGCTTACCCCTTGATGGCTTTGCAGCCTTTTAAGCAAGTTTCTTTGGTTTTCTAATCTTTAAAATGGTCACGACTGATGTCACAGGTTTGGTTGGAGATTCTGCAAGATAATTCACATCAGATGTTTAGCATAGAGCCTGGTATGTGACTAAATGCCCAGTAAATGTTAGCTATTAAGATAATACATGTGCAAGTGCTTTGTAAGTGATGAAGCAATACAACATGTTTCTAATATGAAGAGCAAAATGACAAGCATTATTTTAGTAAAAATGAAAGTACTGTCTGAGAGGGTTATATGCAGATGCACTCAAAGCTATCCTGACCAGTCAACATCCTTGTCCTTTCCAGAAAGCTCCTGTCAGAGGTGAGTAGATGGAACCACAGATGTTCACTCAGTGCTGAAGCATCTCCTTCCATTTACCTGTGATATCATAGGGAACTCTGCTGGGCAGGGTCATTAAGACCAAAATTAACATCACATTATAACTTTTTTAAAATGATGCTCCAGAGCTTCAGGCATTTTACAGAATAATCTATAAAATGAAATAACAGTTGGATATAGTAGCTTCTTCCATTTAATTTTAAGAATAGCAACAGATTGACTCCAGAAATAACCATGCAGGAATTGGTAGCACAGATAAGGAGCTTTGCTGAAAGCATGGCTGTGATATATGCTCATGAATACCTAATTAATCCATGCAGGATATCACCAGTAAGACTACAAAACAACAGCAAGTCCCATCAAACAGTTAATCACTACTTTAAGCAACACAGTTAACATGTGCCTCTGGTCAGAAACAACCTTAGAATCAATAGGTTGCAGAGGAAACAGCTATGTAGGACAAGCCGGCTGTTTAGAATACCCTTGTTGCTTTCATATCCCTGGGTTGGATAATGAGTATGCCAATGCCTTGGGCCTGTACCACTGTCTTCTCGTCTATGGACCTGAATGCAGCACTATCTGGGGCTAGGAGCTGCCTTCGGAGGGTTTATTAAAGTACATGTTTTAGCCTATAACTGGGTTTTCATGACCAGTTTTTTAGAATAATGTAGAGTAGAACTGAAATCATCACAGATAGGCAGGGTTATTGTTTGGTGAGAGCTGTGTGTGAGTATATGTGCATATACGTTCAGACGTACGTACATATTATACATTCACTTTGTACAAACATATATACTGGGTCAGAAGTCTTATTTCTGCCAAGAGGGCTGTAGGTACCTTGAAGCAGAAAACAGACTTACTCACTTCCTTCATACCCACGCCCAGTACCTCATCTGGTACTGTCGCATTGAAAGTACTCACTGATATTAGTTGACTATTCCTCATAAAACCGTGTTTAGTGGAGTGTGTATTTGTTAGTACAGGTAAAA